TATATATATATATATATACTTACACATATATATATTATTTTAATATATATATATTTACTCTAATATAATTCTCTCTCATCTACTTTTTATTTTTTTTATTATTTTTTATTTTTTTATTTGTTTAGCTTAAAAATGTTTGAGGACGTTTTGAGTTCTGAAAGTTACTATGTATTTTAAAGCAAAAGATCAAGAAAAATGTATTCCTTATGATGTGATCCCCTTCACTGTGTTTATGTGCAATACATATGGATTCTATTTTCCATATGATTAAAATGGCATATATTTCCATACAATGGTGTGTTCAATTACCTAGAAAAGCCCAACCATAATGGTGTTTTAACCCATGACAACATTTCAAGACTCTGCTTTTTTGCTCAGTCCTTTGAAAAGCACAGCTGTATAATGAAATACAAATCACAATGACAAATCAGTTATATTCCGAGAAAAGGCTCTTAACTTAGATGAGAAAAATCTGGCTATAATTAAATGGTTACATGGCTTTAACTTAACAGAGTGAATGATTGCAGAATTTAATGGCTGCCTCTGTCTTTTTTTCTGTTTTTTTTTCTCAGCTGTATAGTTCATTTGACTTTGGCCGAAAGTGGCAGCTGGTTCACGAGCGAGTGACTCCGAATCGCTTCTACTGGTAGGTGATGCGTTCACAATCACACCTAATCTCCATTTCTCACACCATGTCACTAACTTACAATTTTATAGGCGAACAAGGAGAGTTTAGTTGAGTAATTGTTGACATTGACGTGTTCGTGATATGTGGAACGAGTTTGAGCAATTGAGAAGATGGATACGGTTGAAAGTTGTGTCCTTTTTTTGCCCGCTCTTATGCTTAGAAAATGCAGAGGCTGTTGTTCATGTCAACGTGAGATAAAAACTGCAAAGATGTTTGAGCTCTAAGACCTTTGTTGCACAACTCCTCTCCATTCAGTATCAAGACAATAAAAGAAAGGGGGAGAATAAGCATGGCAGAGGAAGATGGAAAGAAAAATTGCGGCATAAAGATGGCTGAGGAGAGTGAAAGAGAAAGGATTTGTACTCCACAGTGCATCTAGACTTTAAAGTTTTTTAGTTTTACACATAACGAAATGGATAGAACTTTTGGGGAAAAAAAATCTCTTTAAATGATGTACACCCACATGAGATAAAGACTCCAGTAAGGCTGTGGGATCGAATTGCGATTTTTCTGTTTAAACTGGTGATTTTAAAATATGGGGGGAAGAAAACACTCAAGATTTGCTTTTTTTGTAGGTCTGGACAATTTGAACAAAAATGTGTGAAATAATAATAATTATATATATATATATATATATATATATATATATATTTTTTTTTTGAATTGAGACAGGGGAATTGAAAGGGGAAGGGCTAAGGGGTAGAATTGGGATTGGGCCTAAACGATGTTACAATTTAAAATAGTTTTTTTTTATTTTTTTTATATATATAATATAATATATTACATGAAGTAGGTTGCCATATCTAACTAACCCATCTTTATTGTCATTTATACAATGATGTCAGAAACATAAAAAAACTTTTTGTTTTAATAATACATGTCTCAATGTGAGATTAATATTGCAAGAAATACATGTACATTATTTCTTACCAAAGTGTACAAATCACACAGGAAGTAGCTAAAATTATATGTAACTCAGTGCTAACCACTGAGGGATGTTTTAGACTGTTAGTGAGAAAGCAGAGGTTTTATCAGAAGTTTGTCTTCAGTGTGTGCATGAGTTACAGAGAACGGGTACACTGGTACAGCCTACTTGAGCTATAAAAGACACTGTCTAGTTAATGGTAGGGTTGTTTAAATGCTGGTGCACCACACACTCATGTTTCCAACAGGTGTCATCATTCTCATTTCCATTGTACTCCTACACTGTCACCATCATGCACAAATATACACCTACAAATACATGGGTTTTTAGACACGCTTCTGGTTGCTGCTGTAAATTGTACTTTGATTCTTTTCCCCATCATGTGGCATTTGAAGTGGCACCTCACAACTCTTTTTTTCACTTTGCTGGCTGACATGGACCTTCAGTAAGACATCTGTTATGGATTTTTTTTGTCTCCGTGATAAAACTGCTTTCTCCTCGCTCTGGTGTGTCTAATGCAGGTCAGTTACCGGTCTGGACAAGGAGTTAGATCTGGTGCACATGGAGGCCCACACTCCTGATGGCCGTGAGTTGCTTCTTTCTGTCTCTGTCTGTATTCTCCAACACTGTCTAGCAGCCTAGTGGTATGAAATTTTATTAATAACAGACACTCAAATCTTTTAATTAGGTATGCTAAAAAAGACATGTCACTGACCCCCAGGTCATGGACCCTGTTCTTTATATTATATCTTATTTTATTTTATTTAAAATTATTTTATTTTGTTTTATTTTATTTTATTTTATTTTATTTAGTTTTGTTTTGTTTTAATTTTTTTTATTCTTAAACATATTTAATTTAATTTTGCTGATTAATTAATTAATTGATTAATTAAATAGTTTTTATATTATAAGTGAGTATTGTATAATTTATCTATAATTCAAATTCATTAATCAAAAGGACAACAAATAAAAAGTTATATTATATTATATTATATTATATTAGCAAAAATAAATAATTCAAAACATTATATTTTTCCTAAATTTGGAGTATTATGAGTGAGTCATTTTATTATTCACTCAACAGATTCATTTGAAAAAATTCTAGCAGATTCTTGCTGATGCCTCACTCATTCTGTTCGTTCTGAAACAACATGTCCCAGTACTTTCACAAACTGTATTTTCGTTCAGTGTCACTCAGAGTCTCGTTCAGGCTCAAAACACTGACTAAGTGGCTCAGTGAAGAGGTATATGTATTTAGTATGCTCGTCCATTCAAAGAAATGTTCCTTCACAGTATATACTAAGGTTATTTTTAATTCTCTTTTTTCCCACCTTCCTCTCACATCCTATCTACTGATCTATGGTACACTCCTACTTCAGTCCTGATGTTAGAGGAGGAAAAGAGATGAGAAGAGAAACTGTGAACTTGTGAATGAGGATAAAACCAGTCCTGCGGGCAGCTAGACAGGATTACCGTAATGATAAACACACCATCTGATAGCAGATTAATACAGGACCTGGAATCTCTCTGCCTTACTTTCTCTCACTAGTTAAAGGCATAGTCCATTGAAAAATGAAAATTCTGTCATTGTTTACTCACCATTATTTGGAAAATAAAAGAACAAATCAATCCCAATACTTTTTACATACAACAGTAGTTCATAGTAACCAAGCTTCCAAAAACCAAAATTCTCTTTATGGGGGGGGGGGAATGGTTGACAGGGGGAGTTTCTGTTGTTTGAATGAACTTTCAATTTAATACTGGATACATAATTCTGAATCTTCCATCTAATGTTCCTTAAAGCTGATATAACCTTAGAGATTCTGAGAAGCAGTCAGAGGTTGCTGGACTCAATGCCCCCAGAATCAGAATCAAATTAACATCTAGAATCCTCTTTCTGTCTCTCCTTACAACAGATTGTCAGTATGTGACATGCAGAGCTCAAGCCTGCTCTGAATCCAGTAGGACATATCCATTTTCTGGCTATATTGAGACCAACTCACTTGTGGTTCAAGATGAATATGTGTTTGTTCAGGTAAGAACCAGAGATCACTTACTTTAAAGAAACAAGTCAAATGGCATCATTTAATTGTTTTTGGAATTATATAAGGACATCTACAGTTAATTAAAGTCAAACAGCGTGGCTGAAATAAAAAGTACAATGATAACAGTGTAACTCTTTGCCATTAGTCTTTGAGATAAGGACTTCCTAGAACAACAGATCTGTTGGGATTCCTCAGTGTGTTCCCACTGCAAAATGCTCTGTTATTCCCATTGCCACTCACTTATAAATTGTGGAATGTGGAACACAGTGTGATATATATAGTGCATATCAGTAGTGAGCGGTGACATTTTTAACCGGGTATGCTGAGTGATAAGACACCCCCCACACCCCAACGGCTTTTAGGACACTCAAAAGGGATCACATATGACAAATAGCTAAGAAACATTGTGGGAGGTGTCGATTTAATAGTATGCACATTTCCTACCTTATTTGTAAATGAAATTCGTCTCCAATCCTTCTTTTAAAGTTTATTTTTAGTTTCGTTTCAAGTTTATCCATTATTCTAATGCAAGAAAAATACAGCTGGTTTTCCAAGTAAAAACCGCTAAATAACGTTTACATGTAGTTACGTTATGATACATAATCAGAGGGTGGGGAGATGGGGGGATTCCCCCGGTCTATATGTCTCTGCATCTGCTAAATATTTTTTTTTTATTCCCAGTGAATAGGAGTTAAAACTCCCACATGGGTGACGCTACTCCAATAACAGACCATGCAAAATACCTAAACATATTTAAAATATTGCAAAGTAACATTGCAACCTTGCAAACAATAATAAAATCAGAGAAGGACTTTAACGGTAAGCGACACAAGCATACGCAAAACAAAGGGAACAATATGATGTTTGTTATTATTAATTTTATATAGCCCACGTTTTCATTAAAAAAAAATTTATTTACCGCTTAGACAATAACGTTGACAATAACGTATATCTTCAACATACATTGTCTATGACCAAAAATGTAAGATATGTTTTCAGTGGACTTTTAAAATTTGCTTTGCTTGAGAAAACAAAAAATATACAGTTACAGTGTTTTTTTTCTTTTGATTTAGTCGAGTTGGTTTTGCATCAAACACAATATGATTTTTGGCAATCGAGATCTGACAGCAACAGCACATTTTTCTGCTTGGGCGAGCGCTTTGCGGACAGCTTACCTCGCGCATTAAATCAGCCTCAGGCCAGCAAATCACTGAGAACGCGCTACAATCCTGACGAG